GCGGTATGCCTTACCTCTTGGCCCGGCAGGTGCTGGGTCCATGGTGTGGCTGGTGGGGCGGCAAGGGTTGGAGACTGCGGCAGCACCAGAAGAGCGACCAAATAAGGTCAGCGGTATGTGGACGCTGGCTGAGCCACGCTGGCAATCAACCCGATCCGCAGATTCGGAAATCAGTACTTACTGCCTGTCATCCGCTGATTCGGCACACACGTCCGCTGCCATCCGCTAAATTGGCGGATGGGGTGCGCGGCTTCCGGTCCGTTGGAAAATATCCGTTAACGCCCAAGCGGAATCCGCAGAGTCCGCTGACTGGCACCAGCCGTCCGCTGCCATCCGTGCCACGTCAGCAAGAGAGAGAGCGGGGTCCGCTAAATTAACGGATATTTAACGGACGGCACCCTCGTCCGTTATTAACGGATCCGGGTGGCCACCTCTAGCTTCTATGCCTCTATGCAAACGACCCAGGGTATGCCCAACTAAGGCACAACAAGCGCTCAATGAGGTAGGAAACAACCCCAAATAATCAACCAGGCGTGCTACATAATTTTCTAGTATTGCAAGCTCAAGGCACTCAGAATGCATGGAGATGACTTTGATAACAAGATAGATTATGGCAACCTTATCATATGCCCAAAGAGTTTACTAAGATATTACAAAGATGTTGAGCACAATGCCAATATGTGGTAGCACATCACACAAGAGATACATGAGTCAAACACGCCCGAAAAACACCTTGGAGTACTGAAGAGCACCCAACTTGCCATTAGACATATGCATTTGCTTAGGTGCTACCCATTTGGTGGTCTATCATGGACCGCAACGAGACGGAGCTAGAAGGGGTGCGTGGAGGCACTATGTGGTTGTTTAATGGGAATATGCCCTGTGGGGTACAACATGGTTGCTGACCATGGTCAGTGTGGATGTTTGCTAGGAATGTGGCTTTTGGGGTATAACATAGTGCCTGATTATGGGCAGTGGGGCATATTGGGTTAAGTTGCGGTGAAATGGTGGGTGTGGCAGAAAGCTTCCGGGTATCAAAAGAACATCTCAAAAGAATGGGGGATATTTGCCAGAGCTTGAGAGGTTAAAAGTATTGGGATCATGGCGAACGTTGCAGGGAACTCTGTATTGTTGCACTCAACCTGCCAGCTGTAAGAACTAGTGCGCGGCACTCGTGTGTGCCTCTCACGGCGGTCTAGGCACATAGCCTGGCTGCCTAACTCCCCTGGCCATGTGCACAACATTCGCCACGCCCTGAGCTCAGTAGCGATCAACCTTTTCGAAGGTCATGGCCAGTTTGAGCCGTTTCTAAAGAGTTTCCCTTGCCGTTCAAAACCAGCACCACCAATGCGGTCGTGCTCCTGGCTGCAAGTGACCAACCTTCATCACTCCACAGCCTCGTTGAGGCAAAAAGAAGCATCTTTCGTGTATTGTATCACTACGCTGTGGACCCCGACCCGTGGGGCTGACCTTTGCCCTGACCTCGCTGACCTTTGGGGAGTGGCTACGACTGGTTGTGGCACTCTGTGGGGCAGTTGTGAGAGGTTCTACAAGCGCGCTTGGATGCTTGACAGTCAATTGAATATTTGCTACCCATCTAAAGCTTCCCTTGCCCCTCGCACGAACTGGCTCTTCACGAAGAACTGTTTGTCGCAACGAGGTCAACGACCAAATTTGCAGAGACGGCAAGCTTGCTCCCTCAGTGCACCCTCAACTGACGCGGTGTTGAGGTTGTCGACGGGCCTCAGCTGCTCGTTCAGGGGTGATTTAACTGCGCTATCTCGGGGATGGCGGCCAGAATGGACCGCCGTCCTTTACACTGCGACGGTAAGGCATTACTCCAAGCGCTTATACGTTTGTTCCGAACAAGCTCCGATGCTCCCCTGGCGCACGTGACTTGAACCTGCGCATCCGATTCCCGCGCAGGCCGTGCGCCAGCCAACGTGGCTTGCCGCGGGTCAGCAAGCCGCGTCGCCAGCACTGGGGTGCCTAGGCCGCCTCCTTCTGGGTCGATGCTCAAAATGGTGTGGCCTCCCGGGCCCCCCCCCAGCCGTCATTACCATCCATCACCCGGGGGTGATGTGTCTCCCGCAGCATGTAACGGTCAGCGTGTGAATCCGGCGCCACCGTTATGTCATTCGCCCCCTCCTACAAGGACAGCGAATGCCCGTCATGCCAACCCCCAACTGAGAGACAATGACAGATACGGCCCATCATGTGACTAAATCGGCGAGCTGGCCTCCCTCCCCCATCAAATGCGCCCTTCCCTGTGAAATGCAAGGTGCCCAGCGCTGGTACATCCATTGCCGCACGCGCCGGCAACGCGTCCCGCCACCACGTCTCACACTGCCGGGGGCCGCTTCCCGTGCTGGCTGCCGCCACGGACTGTCACGCCCATCGTCAGTACGGCCCACCCCACAGCCGAGTGTGACCGCGCCCTCACTCGCTTCAGTGTGACTACCACCTCCCGTGGGAGCAGACCGTTACCCCTTACTGCCCCCAGCCCGCGTCACACCCCCCGGGGCGGTATAAATGCGCGAGGGCTGGCTGACATGGCCAGTGGTCCACAGCTCGCCCGGCCCCTCCACCTATCAACGCAGCGAACAAGCCTTCCGGCCGCTCGGTGTCCCGTGCTCTCTGCCAAGATGCGTGCCGTCGCCTTCTGCCTCCTGGCCCTCGTGGTCGCGGCCTCCGCCCGGGGTAAGCGCCCCTCGAATCATCGCCCCGCATGACACGTGGCGCCGTGCGGCCATGCGGCCATGCGGCCATGCGGCCAAGGGGATCTCCCGCGCGCCTTCAACCCGCCCCCGGGCTGGATCTCTCGCGATCGGCGCCGTGGGGCTGTGTCAGAACGCTGGCGGCATTTTCTGCGCCAGGAGAACGCAGTCCCGGATGTCACGGGGCCAAGGCCGTGTGGCGGCGTGGTCCAGCACGGCGCCCAGGCCCCGACCTGGCGGGTCGGCCGCCCGGCGGCGATCGGCTGAATCTTGTCGCGATGAGCGCGCGCCGCGGTTGTGGCACCAGTGGTTGGGGACCGGGGACCGGGGAGGGGGCGACATTTGTGTGGCATGGGCGAGAATGGGAACCTCGGCATATGCCAGTATCCGGCCTGCGGTGCGGGCTGCCGCAGGGCCGGCCGCGGAGAGGCCGTCCGACTCGGGGGGTGCCGCAGGCCGCGTATGCTAACGCCCAGCCGTTTGTGTGGGACGCGCAGAATTCCCCCTGGCCCAGTACCGCAGCCTGCTCCAGGAGAGGACGGAGCTCAACTGCGAGACCGACTCCATGGCCACGCTCAACCTGCAGGGCTCCGGATCCGGCTTCGCCCAGGCCACGGCCTTCTGCCAGGTGAGCCCTCCCCCTCATCCGCAAGCGGCGCTTCTTTCGGTTAGTTCGCCGGCGCGCGCAACCGCAATCTCTGGGCCTACCCCCGCACGCGGCTTTCTCCCCCACTGGCCAGCCGCGACTCGATTGGCCGCTCCAGCCGGCAGCCGCGCGGCGCACAGGCGGCGTCCGTGCTGTCCCCAGATGCGGCCCGTCGCGCGCCCGACCTAATCTGCCGGATGGATCCCCCCGCTGGGCCCGGCGTCTTGGCACCGCCCGGGCCCCAGGGGCACCCACCTCTGGCAAAGATTCTCTCCAGCGCCGGCGCCGGACAGCCGTCACGTCAACCACCCCGTGCGCGTGCCCCACCGCGCTGTCTCGACCGCCACACCGCGGCTTGCCACTCATCGTTCTCCGAAGACCTGGCCTCTGACCCAGGGCTTGCGTTTTGTGTTTTTTGCAGGCCCTCGCCGACGCCGAGAAGGTTATCAAGAGTGTGGTGGAGGACTACATCGAGGTCTTCGAGGGCGAGAGCTCAAAGGGCCAGTGCACGGAGGCCAAAGCCAGCGAGGCCGTGACGGGCGTCGCCAAGGCCATCGCCAGCGCCTACACCAGCGTCACCACCAAGGTAACGCGCCCGCCGTGCCGGACTTGTTTCTCCCGGGTTTGTGTCTGGGCCGCCCCGCCGCCGCAGCCCCCGCGCCCCACCCCCGTCCCTGACACGACAAGTCGCCGGGCCAGTCGGTGACGGTGTGCAGAGCGAGATCGTGTGCCGTAAGCGCGAGGGAGATATTCGGTGGCAGCACTGGAAGGAATATTATGCCATTCTGCTATTATTTATACAATTATTATGCATTCGGGAATCAGCTTTAAAGCGTGGGCAGGTGTGGAAAGAAAATTATGCGTGTTTTCACGATTCTGCTTCTAGTTCGTGGCCCAGCTCTAAAGCGCCGCAAGCAAGCGTCCTGCTGCACTGGCAGGCGCCAATCCCTTGCTTGGCGCAACAGAGGCTGGACGTTAGCGGCGTTCTCAACACTCACCGCGGCATTGGCCGCTGCCGCAAGTGTGCGAGGCGTCCGCCACAGTGCCATTTTGCCCAGGCAAAATCGCAAGCCTACGTCGTGGATTTTTCATAACACGGGGATCAGGCACCCGATGGTGATGCGTCCAGAACACCCTGTGTGCAGCAAAGTACCAGAACACCCTGCCTGCAGCAAAGTACAGCAAACTACGGAGCCCCGGATCGCCCTTCGCTGGTTCGCTGTCCCACGTCCTGACCGTGCTGTTCCTGCGTTCCCCAGGTCGAGATCACGGGCACGGGCCAGGCCTGCGCCTCCGGCTTCGCGGCCGGCGACTCCCTGGCCGTCTCCCTGGTCAATGTCTACCTGAGGGTCAGCGTGGAGCTCATCGAGAAGAAGTACCCCACCAAGAGCTACGGCCAGGACGTCAAGAAGGCCGTCGACGAGAAGGTCGACTCCGCGACCGGCGAGGCCTCCGGCTCCGCCGTTGCCGCCGCGATCGCCAAGGCCTGGGCCGCTGCCACAGGCGAGGCCTGCACTACCGGCGGCTTCAAGTCGGACTTCCAGGAGGCCTTCGTGAAGTCCACCACCACCGCCGTCGCCGAGCTGTGGGCCACCGTGATTGTGGAGCTGTGCTCTAACTTTGACGACGGTGAGCAGTCCCGCACTGTCGACGATGTGGCTGGAGATTCTGAAGTGTCTTGAGCCGTCCTTGGACTTGGGCAGGAGGTTTCGTGGTGTCCTGAGGCGTCTTGGACTGTGGCAGGGATGTTGGCGTGCCTTGCGGAAATTCTTGGCGTGCGCTTGTGCTCGCTTGGCGACGTGGGGCATTACACTGAGCGTGTGGGCGTTCCAGACTCGTGTCATGGGCGCCGGTTCACCGCATGCAAGAGGATACAGTCATTCCACGACTTCGCTCTGAATTATCCACACTGGCTTCTGACCGGCTTCTCTGCCTTCTCGCAGCCAAGAAGGACGAGCTGAAGGAGTGGGCTGAGAAGACCTCCAAGTCTTTCTCCGAGATTGCTGGTGACGTCAGCGTCGAAGGGGTCGTCGAGCAGAGCACCACCGAGGGGGGCGCCGCCTCCGGGGTAGCGGGCGAGATCCCTGTCTGCGGCGCGACCAGGGGCATCTGCTGCAGCGCCAACAACAAGGGCCAGGACAACTGCAGCTGCGGACCAGGGTGAGCGCCCCCGACCCCCTGGGTCTTTGTTGATTGTGCGTTCCGCTAAGTGATAAGGTTCTGCTGTATTATTTGTACGACGTAATGCGATATCCACAGTGTTGGTGATAGTGCGTTTATTCGTACGGTGTGGTGCCGTATCTACGGCATCAGCGGTTCATCTGCCTGCTGATCGTGCGTCCCGCCATATCATTGCCGGTGAAGCGTGCCATGTGCTGTCTGCGTTTCGTCTGGCTGCCGGTAGTCTGCGTGTCGGCCTCTAACCCACCGCTGATTTTGTGCAGATGCTCGATGAAGAAGGGCAGCGGCGGCCAGGGGACACAGATTGTGTGGGAGGACGATAACTCCGGCGAAACCTGCTTCTGTGCTTAGAAGCCGGAGTTGACGCTGGGCACGGCTCTTGACTGGAGGCCTGCATTTTGAACTATGCGATTTGATTGCTCCATGTCGAACTGGGTGGCGAACTGGTGCACGGGATCGTGTGTTCCCGACGTTTTAATGTAATTTGATTCTGCCATTTTGGACATGAGCGTGTATGCTTCCCATTCAGTTATCAATTTCTAATGGTGCGTAATGGCGAATGCCGACAACGCAAGGAATGGAAAGCGCGAATCTGTACCGAATCCGAGGGCGCAAGAAGTAAACCCCGGTCCATCTTCGGGAAGAGACATCCACACAAGTCTCCACCTAGGGGCTTACGCGATCACAATCCCCTCGAAACGGCGCAAATACCCAAGCCGGCGTGGCATCTAAATGGTGCATTCACAAGAGGAATTACTTGGTTCGGCTGCAAACTGCAATACTTCCATCTAATTTGCCCAGGCAGCCATCGAAGAACGTTGCCACAGCCAACCACTCCCTTTATCCAAGCAGGCAGCAATGTCAGCGCACTGTTTTTCAACCAGTCCTGGTCACAATGTCGCCCTCAGCCACATTCAGTCCACATTTTCCAGAAGCCTTGGGACCGACCACATGCCCACCACCACACCCTCACCGTAGCCATCGCCTTCGTCTGCCAGACATTTGTTGGCAACGTGGTGGCGATGCGTTCCCCATATAATATTGAAAGGATCCCATTGAGCCGCCGAAATCCTCGCTCGTACGCCTGGCACATGGAAATTTAGTTTGGTATCATCAGGATCCACTGCCCTTGTTAAAGAGTGGCACGCAATTTCCATGCAAAAATTGCATGGCGATGTAGAGCAGTGCTCTCGCAGCGAGCCTAGTATTGGGCCAAGCTTGCACCTGCGTTGTGACCGCCTGTGAAGTGGGACAATGATGACGGCTGCGGCAAGGCGAGGACGCGGAAGGTCAAGCCACACATTGCTTGCGTGCCGACAACATCGCCTCCTGTTCCATGCTTGGCACGCAATTTCCATGCAAAAATTGCATGGCGATGTAGAGCAGTGCTCTCGCAGCGAGCCTAGTATTGGGCCAAGCTTGCACCTGCGTTGTGACCGCCTGTGAAGTGGGACAATGATGACGGCTGCGGCAAGGCGAGGACGCGGAAGGTCAAGCCACACATTGCTTGCGTGCCGACAACATCGCCTCCTGTTCCATGCTTGGCACGCAATTTCCATGCAAAAATTGCATGGCGATATAGAGCAGTGCTCTCGCAGCGAGCCTAGTATTGGGCCAAGCTTGCACCTGCGTTGTGACCGCCTGTGAAGTGGGACAATGATGACGGCTGCGGCAAGGCGAGGACGCGGAAGGTCAAGCCACACATTGCTTGCGTGCCGACAACGTCGCCTCCTGTTCCATGCTTGGGCGATGAACGCAGAAGTCGAGGAAGACATGCACCGCACTGTATGGCCAGCGCGTCAACGTCAGAACGTAGGAAAGCAACAAACATGGTCGGCACGAACACCGAAGCGCGTCCCTCAATCCCGAAACAACTGCAAGTCATGATGTCCAGCTCGCTACGCCAATCGACACCCAGTAGCCGCCAGACCACTACGACAACCTACACCACGCTGGACCTCCATTCCGACTCCAAGTCGGATATGGACACATTCACCAGCTGCGTCAGGCCCTTCAGGTGCAGCATGCACTCCTCCGATATCCCCGGGCAGCCACACATGCTGAGGTCTACAAGATTGGTCAGGCCGGACAGCCACCGCACGCCGCCATTTGTGACATGCGGGGCGTCAAACAGCATGATTTCCTTGAGGCTCTTCATCTGCCCCAGGGCCCTCATCCCCTCGTCTGTGATTTGGTGGCAGCCGCTGAAGAAGAAAATGTGTGTCAAGTCGGTTGCCTTCCCCAGCTGCTGCAGCCAGGTGTTCGTGAGCCTGCTGCACTCGTCCAAGCCAGCAGTTTTGAGACCCGTCAGGGACAGTAGGCAGTTAGTGCCAACGCTCGTGATGCTGCTGCCCATCGTCAGCACGAGGTCCTTCAGAGTCGTCAACGTGCACAGATGCCTGAGGCCAGCATTCGTGAGCCCGTAGCAGCCGAAGAGGAGAAGCTCGCGAAGAGCCGTCAACCCACCCAAGGACTCTCCCGTAACTAGATTGCAGTACATCAGGTTGAGCTTCGTGAGAGAGGCCATCGAGGCCAGGGCCTTCACGCCCTCATCCGAAACCTCCTCACAGCCGCCCAAGTTGAGATCCGTGACGGATGGCATCAGACTCAAGCACTTCACACCCTCGTCCGTTATCCTCGTGCAGTTCAGCAGATCCAGCCTCGTGAGAGACGCCAAAAAGCCCAGGGAGTTCAGCCCCACGTCTGTTATCTCCTTGCAGGTGTCCAGACTGAGATCCATGAGAAAATGCATGCTCTGCAAACAGACGAGCCCACCATCCGTGACCCCACTGCGGCCGATGTCCAGACAGCCCAGAGAGGGCAACTTCTCAACGAGGGAGAGTCCGTGGTTGATGTTTTCCAGCGAGGGCCTCAGCCTGAGGCGCTGAAGATTCGTGAACTTGTGCAGCATGGCATCCACCATCTCCTCCCAGGACACCCCGCCCTTCGGTGCCAGCGAAGTCAGCGAGCTGTTCGCCCACTGGCACCAGTGCTTGTTCACAGCCCTGGAGTTCTTCACGAGCGGCATGCTGCTCTCGCCCTTGCTCTCGAGCTGGCTCTTGACAGCGTCCATCAGGTGGGAGGGCAGGTTTCCCCATCCTCCACATCGAATCTCCACCTGCACAGGACTGGCCGGTGAACACAAAGCCTGGTCGTTTCCTCTGTGTTGGCATGCCACCCCAGGCCGGCTTTGACATGTCACAGGCTATTGCAAGAAACTGACTGTCCTGATATTTAGTTAAACCGTATATGTGCTTACCAGTTCTTTTCAAAGCCCTGGCAGGCGATTCTACTACTGGTGCACAATGCATTGCATATGTGACTTTACATTAGGTCCCTTGTAAGGCCTCTTGTTTGCAGACAGCCTTATATGCAACCTGCACTGGGCTGGGGCCCAGGACAACCACAATTTCACTTCATTTTGGTCCGTTCCACAGGTCGAGTGGCCCAAAGAGGGCGTACCAACATCCAATGTGCAACAAACAATTGGCACTTGGGAGTGTGCAGCATCAAACCTGCAGTTTTGGAAACAATCTTCAAAGAAACTGCCACACAGACCTGACGCCCAGCAGGTGACCTTTCCACAACCTTCATCGTTCATCCATCCATGTGATACACTGCCGAACCATGTGCATACTCGTTCAGCACACAAACAATCCCGAAAGAAGAGGAAAAAGGACAAGGTAACAAATTAGGAGAGAGGGATGGGAAAATACAGGGACAACAATGGGAAGGGAAAACGTCAAGATGTGAGGTGATCTGCAGTTTGCAATAAAATCCTTGATGTTTGGGGCGGAACTGGAGGTGGTGAAGGAGAGCCACCAATGGTGAGCCACCACAGGCAGACTTGACGGAAAAGAATGGAAACAGACTTTGTATATTGCAATCTTGCAGGCTGCCGCATCACAAGGAGGAGCTTCGCTGGTGCGTTCAAGTGCATTCTTGCTACTGTGCTACATGCTTGGCATGTCGCACTTGCAGACTGGATGCCAGTTCTGGAAGCGGGTGCCCGCTGTGTGGCGTGTTTCGCGCTGCTCTTAAAAGACGGTCGTCACCATTCCAGTACTGGCATCTTGGACGGTACACTGCACAATACACCGCAAAACCGTCCTGTAGGGCCCCTTGCGAGCTCAGGCCAGCATCCCACGACTTCCGCCGCAGGGGCGGAAGGCATAACATTGGGGATTGCGGGGGAACGAATGCCGAAGGATGCAAATGCACTGCCCCGTCCCCCTTTCACCAGACCACCAGTGAGGCCACATCGAATGCGCGAGAGGTAGAGGGGTGCGGACTCTATCCAAGTCGATGTTCAATCAATGAAATGGGATGGTTTTGAGCGGCCCCGCGTTGCGTCGTACAATAGCGAAAAGCTGGAAGGCCTGGACGCACCCCAGGGAGCCTTGGCGGCCTGTGCACAAATACCCGCGCCAATGTATCCATCCCGCCCCCTCCGCAACAGCAGGATTTAAGACCCTACCATCCCTTTGCGGTCGACACCACAACCACGTCTTTGGTGCCCTCCAATCCAATTCACCTGCGCTCTCACCTCCCGCAGCATGGGATGCGAGCCTCGCGAGATCGTCTGGACGCGAACGAGGCGCCCGCGACACGCCTGCTTCTCCGCCGGAAAGGCAAACCCAAACAACTTGGGCTTCTGCCCACCGCGCCAGCCCGCCCAGCGCCCAGCCGCGACCCATTTGGGCAATCCCACCCGCGAGCGCGTGCACGCCCCACACACCCCCTACTTGGGCACCGGACCATCATCTCACCCCACAAGCCCAACAAAACTGATTCCCAAATCAATCCCCCGAATCGCGCATCACCCACCCGGCCCTCTCCCCGCGCCCACGCCGCGCCCCTCCAATCCCGCCTCCCTTCGTTCCCAGCGCGGTACAGTCGGCCGCGGCGATTCGATTCCCGGACCCGTCTCTTGGTACCAGCGGGCCGCCCGACCTTCTCTACCCGCCTGCACGCGGTGGCGCCTCCGGGCGGCCGACGGCCACGCGCTGGAGGCCTCGGGGTGGCCGTGGGCGCCAGGAGCGCAGCCCTTCTACCTGGGGCGGGGCGCCGGGAGCCGGGCCGCCCAAGGTTGCGCCCGATTGGCTCAGGGCGGCTGATCCAGGTGAGCGACAGGATTCCTGTCACAGGAAAGCCAGGTGGGAGGGGAGGGGGGTGTCCTGCGGCGATTTTCTGAGTACCCCGCCGGAACCGCGTACTTTGACATCAGCAACACCATGTTAACCTGATTGTGGGGATCGATAGGCCCTGGAATGGTTGATGATTGATCATGTAGACTATGAGAAGTGCCCTGACCGTGCAAAGATGGAGCGACAATACTGAGGATGTGTGATGCCTATGAGATGCTGATAGGTGCCCCTACCCCACAATTGGTATCACCCATGACCACATACTTGCAAGGGGGCAAGGCACAGTGAGCAAGCAAACCAGGTGGCACTCGGGCGAGTAGCCAGCACCGATAATCAACACCACCGGCGGCCTCCGCTCTTAGCGATCCTAATCGTCTCAATCTTTGGTGGAGATCCGACAACCCCATGGGGCCGTACTTGGGACATTGTGGTGTGGGGAGGGGGTTTGGTTGGCTTGCATGCTGCCTTGCCTAGAACGGAGGAGGTTCAGGCTTTGGGGCACCGGCGATGATGTGGCCTGGCTCGCTACATAGGATGGGTGAGTTGGAGGACAAAATTCGAAATTGTGTCTCATACCAACCTTCGCTGTGGGCACCCAAAAATTTTGGGGTGCCCACAAGGATGATCGGTGCAATCTCCCTTGGGGTAGTAGTGTAGCAGCCCAATAGATAGTGCTAAGCACTTACGCATGGCCTACCAGTGGCTGAGTTGGGTGGGTGGGTGTGTTTGGTGGAATGATGTCAGCAATTTGGTTTTTGAGATTTGATGGCGTCCATTGGGCCATTCGACGCCATCTTACCATGTAGGGTGTCAGCCTCCTTGGTGTACCTTGGTCGCCTTCATGCAGCCCTATGCATGGGAGCGCCTTGGTGGTTTGGTGATCGACAAGTCCACAATTGGGAGCCTAGCATGTTGCCAGTACATTGAGCGATTCTGGTGGTTGGCAACGGCCATAGCAACAACAACTCCCAATTTGCTACACACACTATAGACAGCATGTCTGCATATGCACGCTCGAGCGAGCATGGTTGTGCGAGCAATGTGTATTTTAAAATAGCTTATACGGATTCCAGCTTGTAAGCTGTAGGAAGAGTTTTAATGAGGGTTTTGTAGATAGGATTTGGGCCTGTAAAACCCACTCTTTCTCTTCACCACATAGGCACCTCAGAGTGAGTGGCGTTGGGCATGTTAGAAAGCTTTAACAACCAGCTAAAAAACAATACAGGTTTTGACAGCCATGTAAGCAACTACTTCTACACAAACAACGAGGCCCATGTGCTATGTGCTCTGTCCCCGGCAGAGCACCGACGGCTCTGCCCTTGAAGCACAATTCCGTCGGAGTCTTGGCAGACGGGTCAATCCGAAGACACACCCAAGAGGCTTACAACACGTCCAGTCGGCAACAACACTGGTGGCGAGCACCAAAGCATGTGACTGCATGCCTGGACTGCACAACTTATTTGGGCCATAAACGTCAACACGCTCACTAGGAAATCAACTACCCTACGCCCACATCAACGTGATCTTGCCAGCAATGCGTGCTGATAACGACACCTGCGATCGTCCTAGCCCATAAATGCCGTAAAATGCGTAACTACTCATTTCAATGGCCCTGACATTACAGAACATCCGATGCGCAATCGGATCTTGCACCCCACCCGGACTGGTCCGACATGTCGTCTGGCAACTCCAGGCTTGGCCCATCCCATTCGAAATAATCTTCCCCGCTTTCACCTTCGCTCTCTTCGAATTCTTCGGGCCCAACGACATCCTCACTGCGCACAGCCAGACATCCAAGCATTGGTCGCTCGCACAGGATCATGTTCGTTGTTCATGCACGTTGGGACGTGCAGCTGTGTCCCACTCGCATGCAAGGGAGGCACCAGCGTATGCAGAGGCATTTCCATGCCCGGGATCCATTGATTTTTGAGGCATCAGTGAGTTTGGAACCGCAGCACTTGACACAAAGAGGAGGGGGCATCACGTGTCACATCCTCAGAATAGCACCGCACTGGCGAGCTCATGCATTATGTAGGATGGAGTTTCGCCTCGAACGACGAGAGAACGGTACATTTTCCATGAATCGGTAATACCAACCATGCGATGCGATGCAAGGAAAGCTGCACCTGATAGCTTTTGCTTTCCAGCGAGGTCTGGAATGCGAATAGGAGAGAAAGTTGGTGCATTATCAGTTTTAAGCAGGGTAGTGCATGTAATGTCTGTGCCAACGATGCCCTACTGGCTAAATATACAGAGTATACAAAGTACTGAAGATCCTGAATTCCCCCCGCTGCATCGAGAAGGGCAGCAATCCCACTGGTCCAAAATCCTCCAGCAATGGGGGCGACTAAGTCCATATTTTACACTGCAAACTGTATATGGCGAATTCAAACATCGCTGCCATCTCTGGCCAAGTTCAGAAACAAAGTCAAAAGGTTGTCGCATGTCATGACGCCCAATTTCATATTCAGAACATGCACGCAGTGGCATTGTGATAAATGGTGTATCGGTCAAGGCAATGTAGCACTTACAACAATTCAAGCACGTCTGTGTAGCCGTGCTTATGAGCAATCCGGGCAGGGGTCCCCTTTGGCATCTCCAATGGCCCGCCACCCTGATGAACAAAACCATCATGCGTCAAACAAATCATGCTTGTGGAAAACTGACGGGCCACCGCCTTTACAGTTCCCACACCGACGATGGCACAGTTCCTTACACATTGCTGGCACCAGCGGGTGGCACCTGGACTCATGAATGCGAGGTTATACTCTGGAACCGAACACGAAGTCTAGGCACTGGCTGTATTGCGTATGCAAAGAGCACCTCGCATTTGCACATTTTGCCTGCACTTTGCAGGTCATTTAGCACAGGCCTGCTGGGCAAACGAACAATGTATGAGACTCATGTCCTCACCTTAGCAAATATCTGTGCATTGGCACCATAGTCAAGTAGCAGACGAGCAACCCCTATTCGCCCGAAGCAAGCCGCCCAATGCATTGCTGTGTAGTCTATCTGGCAATTGCAGATGATAAACCAGTCAATTCCTGAACGTCTTCAGGGCATTATTGACGACCAAAGCTAAAACAGGACATGTCATACAGCAGTGCAAGGGCTGCACCTCCACACACCAATGGGACCACAATCAGCGAAGCACACACGTGCCGGCCATTTGCAATATGTGTGATTGGTAAACACACCAGATCATTATTCCGCAGCCACAACATGGGCATCATGGTGTAACACACAATCGTGCTGACTCTGCACACAACAGATGGTTGCCATCTGATACATTGTTCATTGGAGACATTCATGCACCAGATAGAAGGTCAGGCCAGTGCATCAGGGCAGCTGCCCACAGAGATCTGTGTTTACGACTGAATGGTGCTCATTCCACCCGCATCAACTCACATCGTTTTGAGCATCGCATAAAGCGCCTGCACCCAGAAGGATGATCACTGCATCTTCCTTGCCATACCGAGCCGCCTTGTGCAGGGGAGTATCGCCTCCCTGCAAAACAATTCAGTTCAACGGCCTGATGTTGTATTCATTCTGGCAGTCAGTGATGGTTGCTTTGTCTGTGCACTCTTTCGCTGTTTGGGTTCATGTGAACAACTTGAAGCAGATGCAGATGTACACGTGGCCTCCCTTCATTGTCTTGAAAGTGCCTGAGAGCGATTTGCCAGCACTGACAAATGTAATCAAATAGGTTTCCACAAATAGGACCGCAAGTGCAACAGGTTAAGTGACTCTGATGGGCCCCATTTCGCATGGGCTGATGCGAAGAGAAAGGCAGACATGCACAAAGCACCAGCAAGTGGCTGTGTTGGTGCGAATCTCCCACATGCTCTGTCCTGCTTTGCTAAGCGTGCAAGCCCACTTTGTGGTTGCAAACGCGTTGCTGTGGTGCACAAGCCTTGGCTGCGCTCTCAGGTAATATTTTATGCTCGTGTCCCTTTGCATAGCTTGCTGCTCTGTTTATGGGCATTGGACACAATCACCAGTGAAACCATGATACAAACTACAAGGAACATTGCACGTTTGCCCTCCCTCCATTGAAATCCACCACCGGCACCATTCTGCAACCTACCCTACACTACACACAGAACACAGAACACAGTGCCATGCACATCAGAATGCATGGGTCTCACCTCATCCACAAAATTAGGATCGATGCCCTTGTCAAGCATGAGCTGCAAGTGGGATCCCTTGCCTTGTGCAGCCGCATCGAGCATGGCGGCCTTTTGCTCCTGTGGGGGCCCAACTCGCAAGTCAGCAGCTGCCAACCCCACTCTGGATCGCTGACACTGACTCTATCAAACTGACTACAGGAAGTGCACAACGTGGATCCCCATGCCAATGCTATCAGCACACTGTGAGGGCTGCCATACGGAGGGGTAGGTGCTTGCTTCTGCTTCCAAAATAGGGATTGTACATGGGCTGGAAAAAACGGTTCTGCATACTGGAATATGCACCAGTTGGACACCTGGGTTGTAGCCGGGTAACCTGGGTACAACCAGTACCTAGGTAATTGTGAATACCCAGATTATTGCGAATACCCAGGTTATTGCAAATTCCAGGGTTATTGCGAATATAGTAGGGGTTTCTATATAGCCCCCCCCCCCCACTCCACTCCACACACACACACACCCACACCCACACACACACACACACAATGACATGGCCAAAAAGGGGGCGCTATCGGGGGCTGGGGCGCTAAAACGTTTCTTTGTTTGATGCGTTTAATTGTAGTTTTTGTCATAAAATAGCACTCCATGTTATAAGAAGACACGTTGCAGACCCATTAGCTGTGTTACAACCTGTTCAGATGCCAAATTAACCCATCACGCATATGTACTATGTGCCATCGTGTTACAATAGTGAAACACCATGATTGGGCCTTGCATTGATGTTACATGGTGCCTGCCACAACTCATCATGTGGACTTGCCTGGCATTGCCCGCATTATGAATGTGGATTGCGCCCAACCAGGCATGGCCACATCATACCGTAGAGAAAGGGGGATAATGGCCCCCCGGTTCAGCATTTTGCAAATATCCACAACGTAGAGGGCGCGATGGATAGAGTACACCCACGTCATCTGGCGTTTCCCCCCCACGTTAACACAACAATTGAGGTGCAGGGGCCACCATCCAAGCAAATTCCCAGCCGCCACCCACGCCCCCCACCCAAGCAAATTGTGGGCTGCCACCCACAACCCCGCCATGAGGTGGCATCGCAAAACACCACCTTGCACACCTTGGACCACCCAGACATACTGGTTAAGATGATCCTGCGCAATGCCACTAGTGGCCTTTCCATGGTCAACGCTGGCCAACGGCCCAGCACCAGACATGTTGTCCGCCCATCCGCAATATGCCTAGTTCGCGGAAACGGTCAACCGCAATGGTGCCCGTCCACCGGACACCTCTCTTGGGTGTCCACAATACTAGTTTGAGGTCCCACTGCCTAGCGAAGTACATAAAGTACCACAAAAATGGTGGCAAGCCAAAAAGGGGGTGCCATTGGGGGGCGCTGTGTAGGGACCCCTACTGTATTTGGGTTATTGCGTATACCCATATTACCCGGGTATGGCTAGTACCCGGGTCTAAGTATTTACCCGGGCATGGAGGCGATTACCCCTACTGCCGATGACATGACGCTGGCCAGCCTGGCACTACCAAGTGTGTGCTTGGCCATTATCTTGCAGAGTTAGCGTAACAACTCTGCACCTCACCTAACATTTTGGATCACACATTTGAACGGCAAAGGAATGATCTGCCAAAGCCAGAACGCCTTTTCGTCAGCGATCGTGTTGACGATCCAGAATTAAGGACACAACATAATGTTGCAAACAACCGCCACGGTAACAAATAACAATAGCAATTATGACATGGTAAGATTCGGTGCGTCAAGCTTCCCACTATATTGTAAGCCCTGACGCCAGAATCCTCGACTCAATTGCTTCACCTCTTGCCAGCGACCACGCAACACCATCATCGGAATTCCACTCGGTCAAATACCCGATTCTGCCTCCCTGGCTCCCTTGGATGTCCTACAAACGCGCTGCCTATGGCAGAAAGCGTGAGGAGCATAATCACAAAGTACGATCGCAGGCGCACCCACTGTGGGTGACCCACAGCTGGTGCGGAGGCGATGGTTTTCCCTAGAATTGTTGGACCAAAATGGGTTATGCACTCACCCGTGCTCTAAATCCAACTAATACCCGGGTTCAAGCCGGACCCGGGTGTTGGTCAATACCTATATAATCTGGATACAGCGGAGGCCCCAGTTTAGCAGACCCCTTTCAGCGACCTATCTAGGTTAAGCGCACCCTGTTCGAGTTACCAAAAAATGACCAAAATTTGTTGGCCACTGTTGTGTTTTGGTCACCGAATGAGGGCGCTGGCCGTTTGCCCCAAGCGGAATGGTACGGGTTTACGATTTTCTGGTGCATTACTAAGGACGACGCCCATGGCCATCACGGCCATTGTTGGCACCCAGTGGTGGTAGCACAACACTCATTTGAACCTTGCGTTAGGCTGGCTTTTCGACTGCTATTTGATGGGCCGGTAGCATCGAGCTCTAGGGGCAAGCCATGGGGGCAAGCCATGGGGGCAAGCCACGGGGGGGAGCTGTGGGGTGCAATGTGATAAAGTGTGAAGTGTGGGGTGATCCACCATGGTGCCACGTCATCGTGATGGCAGAGCCGGTGAGTGAGACTTGATGGGGTTGCATTATATAAACAAGGCGCCGGGGCGCCAGTTTGATGGGCTGGCACTATAGAGGATGCATATGGGCATGGATCACACAGTGATGGGGTGTGGGTGCATGGCAAACTGGTGTAGCATGGGGTTGGAATGTGATGGGGAGTGACAGTGAGACATGGGAGAGAACTCTAGTGACATGTGAGAGAAACACATATTGAGGTTCCTTATATACGGCAACAGTGTGTCGTGCGCCGGTAGAGGTACAAATATGGATCTGCCCATCCCAGTGGGGCAGAGGCCGAGGATTGCAAGTCCTGGGGATTTGTAAGAACTTGTGATTTGCCCGTGGCTCAGTCGAGCGCCGGTGATGGACATCGGAGGTGGCAATCTAAGCAACCATCACAGGCTCCATGTTGTCACATCATGGGTTGGTCTCTCAGGTCAGTTCGTGATATGTGTGGCCATAGCGGGCGCCACTCATGATGGGACGTTGCGGTCAAGAACGAGCATGTATTGAAAATTGATTGTGGGTAAGTTGGAGTGTGGGGAACGTCCAGAACTCTGCCGTGATGGGCGTGGAACCATCAAACGCTTTGGTAAGGAGATTGGATGGGGATGCATGGTCGATGAATTACTAATGGCGTTGAGTGGATCACTGATCAAAGTGACAAGGGCGTTGCTTTGGTGTGTTTGACCGGTTTTCAATGGGGGATGGAATGACATGATCATCAATGTCTGACCCCTTACTCTTGGCTTTCACTTGAGTTGACTCTGAAAACCATGCTATCGTTTTGTCGATGATGCTGAGCATGGTTCAACAACCCTTGAACGGCTTGTCACCATCCCTGTAGTACATTATTTCACTACGGCAGGGTACCCCTATACCCAGAGCTAGGGTAACCCCAACACCAGCGGGCAAAGTACCACCTACACCAATGGCCAGGCTACCCCCTATACCAACAGCATCCTGGTCGTGTTGGGGCCGGCATCGCTACATGGGACGCCTTGCAGGACTTAATCTACTGCCAAACTGCGTTAAGTACTGCTGGAGCACTTGAAGTACTTGGGGGACCTTAGCGACCCATCTAGGTTTAGCGACACCTCAGCCAGCTAGTCACCGGGGGTCGCTAGACCAGCGCCCCCACTGGGCGGTACAAGGGTTTCAGGGTGCCCGGTACCATCCCTATTCCAAGGTGAAACTCGCATGAGCGCAACAAATTTTGAGTTGGGTTTATGAGCAATATCGATACTTTTGTTTGAAGTGAATCCTGTATAACATAAGTTGGACATATGTTCTCCTGGCCTGCCATAACAACATTTCTGGCATGTGCTGCACAGTGCAGCGGTTCCCTCTTTATCCCACATATCATGGACATCAACCTGATCTTTAAACAAAGCAACGATGCACTGTAGCTGCCAGTGCCCCACGTGTGGCAGTGGCACTGAACAGCAGCACATGCAAAGGCAACAGACTCTCGTCATTAGGGCAAACACTACATACAAGTGCCCTGTGTATGTTCTGGAGGCTATCTCGCCTACCTCTGAAGGCTCGTATCTGCTCAGGATGTTCTGCATAAAAAACCAATCACACAGCACATTGGTCTCCAAAGACAGTATCACGTTCAAGCATCATTTTGGCGTGCCATGCAACAGGTTCCCCATGCAACATGCTCAAAACAATAACGCCATCACATCTGGGACACGTTCAATCGAAACATTCCTGCATATGTGATTATGTGGTTAGCCATTCCCCTCCACTATGAGCTGAGCTAAGTTCTCAAGACAATGGTTGCGGTTGGATTTTGACAATGCACTAGCTCTGCCAGGCATGCCCATGCCTAATTTGAGCTATGTGACATTTCGACATTTCAATGCTGCTGTGCTAACCCTGGCTTTACATTAGGTTGCTCCACATGAAATGCAAGGGATATCAGCTCCATCCTCCCTTTCGCCCATGCGCCCACCAAACGAATCAAATCACAAATATCATGCCGTTCTTGAAACGAATTTAAAAAACATTTCCACATGCAAAGGTAAAGTCTGAAGTTTCAAACCCAGGCTGGCAGGCAAGAACCGTAGATCACGGAGGATAGTGTGGAGGGTGTTGAATAGTGCGGGGGCCTTTAGATAACGCCCCCGGCTTTATTAAACATGGCTGGTGTCGCGGAGCATGGGGTGTGTGTGTAAAATAGCGTAGGGGGGGCACTATTCACTTCAACATCACGTACAACCATGGTGCGAAAGCATTTTTCACACATTCTTACATGCCATTGCATATGCTAGCACCCCAATGTTATCAAGTTCACTCCAACTAAACATTACCATGACCATCCTCCTTCAAACTCCATGTCCTTAACATTCTCAGTGTCTAGCTCCATACTACCATCACTCAAACAAAGGCCATCGGGATCTCCAGGGTGTCTCTATTGCAGTGCGACGTCCCAATAACTGTTGTTGGTTGGCGCTGTGATTGGCACCTTATGCAATGCTATGTAATGCTATGTACTGTGCTACATTGGCCAGGCGCTGGTTCGCTCTGCCAATCAATCTGGCAGCGTGCGTGGTGCGGCATAATGCAGCGAACTGTGGCGTCCCTTCACTTCTTTTGGCGCCGATTTTGGTTGCTGTCGTGAATGGCGCCTTATGTATTGCGCTGAGTTGGTGGGGGGCCTGTACGCTGTGCTGCTGGTATGAGGACCAGCCTGATAACGCAGCGCCACTGCATCAGCGACCTGGTGCGGAATGCGGGGGGGGCGCTATCCTCTGTGATTTATGGTACACATATTGGCACCACCAGTGGTAAAGGGAAAGTCTGACAATTTGGACGATAAACAGGCAAGCACTTTGGTTTGCACTTCAATACATCAACAGCTAGTATACCATAATGAAATACATCGAAAATTGAAATTGGGTACAACTCAACAGTCACTGCACTGCGGATGCATGCAGACCCACAACACAACATTCACTCCTTCTTTACCTGTAAATTCACATTTTTGAGGATTGCTGTTATGGATTGCAAGTGAAATGACATCCGACACTATTGTGAACAACATGGCAGGGTATAAATTGAAGATTGACACCACAGCAGCAGCGTGAACTGTAGCAAAGTTTTTGCAACAAATTGCAAGAAACAACACGGCCAGCCTGGAATACAGCCGGATGTCTGATATTGTGGCCATCAAGTACCTTGAAGTGGTCCTCGAAAATCTCCATCTCTGCCTCGCATCGCTCCCACCCCCGAAAGTCTGCAATGGCCTCCACCAGCCCCCTGTTGGACTCCTTGATTTCCTCGATCTCAATTTCAAGTCTCCTCCTGATAGGTGGACCTTGCAGCAGCAATGCATTGGCCTCCCTCAGCTCACAGTTCTGCACCTTGATCCGCTCCAGCTCTGACCTGGATAGATGAATGAATGCATGAATACAATCACCCCTGCACTGGTATTGTTGATGAGGCCCATCACATAACCCCTGCATTCTGACACTCCGCTTGCAAGGATATGCTCTTGACCTTGGCCACAAATGACAAACATGGTTGCCACAGCACATGCCAATGCTGTACAGTATCACTGAACGCTGCCAGATTTGAACAGTCCACACAACTCCTCCCTTTTAAGCAACATTGGTACAAGACTTGGTAAACAGTACGTTGTTCTTTCACTCACTTGCCAGTATGATGTTTTCTACAGTGACCACACACAATGGCTTCAGACACCAAACCCCCACATGATCACGAGCCAATCCTGGCCAAGGTAAATTGAACACACATTGCAGCACGAACCATCTTCTTGGATGAGCCAGGGCAGCGTTTTGCAATCCTCTGCCACACACAATGACAAGGACTGTCTGACTGAACAACAGTAGGGCGCACTGGCCCACTCACAGTCCACAGGTTTGACCTGAGCGCCCTCTCGCTCTGTTTCCACTGTAGCTGTGCAGCCCTCAGCTGCCCCATGTGTCGCCTGGACGCCTCTGATTCCAACCCCTCCTCGTCTTGGCTCGAACGCAGGGCATCAACTGCCTCCTGCAGCTCCCTGTGGATGAACTCCAAACATAAGTTGAAGGCACAAGATGGCAAACATTTGGGGGCATTAATTATGCTTTGTCAATCCCAAAACGCAGGGCATCAACTGCCTCCTGCAGCTCCCTGTGGATGAACTCCAAACATAAGTTGAAGACACAAGATAGCAAACATTTGCGGGCATTAATTATGCTTTGTCAATTCCAAACTAGTACACTTTGGAATAAAATTTTGTCAGTGTGCAGCAGCATACATCGAGCATGAGCACTGGACAGCGCACATCTCCACACTGTGCTACAGCATCTTAAAATGTGTTGAAGTTGCCTGGGTTTCAAAATTCAGAATAGGTAAGACAGAGCCTGTGCATCTGCCCGGCAATTATGGGTGCAGAGGTAAAACAGCATTGCCATTGTGAATGGCACCACTGCTTTGCACCCACAGGGCAATCATGGCTTCCATTGGCATCGTGGCAACACAAACACCACCACTGTGGACTTGCTTTGAGTGCATCTGTCCAATTGGCAACTCACAAGTAAACTCAGCCTTTGGTGAAGTCCAACCAAAAAAAAAAACAGCACTCATACCAATGAGAGCATCACATGGTAGTGCCCCACTTCTCAAAGGGGTGATTGCATGCTGTACTTGAGTTCAACAGCGGGTGGGAACATGTGACCTGTGCATACATCCAGCTACTGATTCCAAACGAAGTACCCTTAATTGCCCAAGGTAACAGAACAGCGCAATGCAATCAACAACGAATTTATGAAAGCATCCAGTACCCGCCATCACCTGTTTTTCTCACGTAGCTGCTCAACTTCGGAACCCAGGTCTCCAAACTTGTGGCGGTCCTCCAGGTTTTGTGCGTTGGCCTCCTTCAACTTCCTGTTCTGCTTCTTCAGGTGCTCCACCTGAGCCTTGAGGTCATCCCTGGAGCCCTGGTTGTGGATTTGCACGATGGCATCCTTCAGTTCTTTGTTCTGCTTCATGAACTCAAGTGCCTGGACCTTGATCTCCTCCCCCTTGCGCCGCTCCAGCATGACCTGCTTCGTGAGCTCTTTCACCTTTTTCTCCTGCCTCTTGAGGACCTCTCCAGGGGGAGGCATCTTTTGATCTTTCTGCTCCTTGCCAGGCCTCTGTGGGGAAGTGCCATGCATGCTTCGTGGGGTGCCACCATCCTTTGATTCTCTGCTCTGCCTTTTTGCTCCTGCCATTGGGCTAGTGGGTTCCTTTGCTCCAGTGTGTTTTTTCTTCACTGGGCTGTCTGCCCCCTTCTGGCGGTGCTTTCTAGGCTCCTCAGCCAGCTGCCTGGGCGTTCCCCTGGGTGTGCCAATAAGCCCACGGGGAGTGTATTCGCCAGCTTGCCTCAGCTCCCGATCCAACCTCTTTGCTTCCCTCATTTGTGCCCTGATACCATCTGCCAGTTGCTGCTCATGAGCAATCTTTTCATGAAACACTAGTGAAACTCCTTCGCTTTCCTGCAGCAATTCATCATTTTAGAGTGCGTCAAACGAGCTTAACCATAGCACCTCCCTTGCTCTTGATTGATCCTTGCTACCAGCTATGCCTCAGACAGTTCATAATTATAACATAAGTGGATAGGCTGAGTCAACATTGTGGACCCCAAATGCCTGCACTGGAACAGTGGGCAGCATTGGAAAATCCCACATACTCTGGACACAAGTTCTGCCCCTATTCCGCACATAATAAGACCATTGTCAGTAGAGGAGCGACTAGCCTCCTGCAGTCTGAGAGGCTGCCAGCACTCACGTTAACTCCCTATGTGCTGCTGCTGGCGATACTGTTGCTCTGCAATAGCCCAACAGCCCCTTCTGGCCATTACTGTTGCTGCTAATCAACCATATCGCTAAACGGCATCACCTCTACATCCCATGCAGAATGTTATGTGTCTGCAGCATGTATACTCATAACTAAATTGGGTCAGTACTGTCCACCTGACAGCCAACGACAATAACAAAAGAAAAGGAACCAGTGATCAGCACTGCATGGACTTGTACGTCGCCAGGAATTACTTTGTTGGGTGTCAATGCAACTAGAGTATTTCCAGCATTACAGCAGGCACCCTGATGACCGCTGCACCTTCCACAACCACCCCATTCAGGTGCACTTTGTTTGCTGCAATACGTTTTCCACTGGGATACCAGCAAAAGCACTTGACTGCATTCTAAGTGTGGCACTATACACCAAAACCCTCATTTTTGCCTACTCCTCCCTTGCATTGTGCAGAGAATGGACCGATTACTACCATATTACCATCGTCACCATACAGTACAATGGCATTGCCAAGAAGCAGCTGCTACCACAGTATTTTGCATCAGTACTAGGACAACAACATCAAGGGGCAGCGCCTAGACTCTCAATGTAATGTCACATTTTCAGAATGACAAAAATGGACATGACAGCCATGTCCAGGAACCCACCTGCAGGTTCAGAAGGGCTTCATCTGCTGCACACTTTATGTGCATGTTTTTGTGCGACTTTAAGTTGTGCAGTTGCTTGGACACCCTTGACAGGAGGTGCGCCTTTGTTTCTGGGTTGCGTACGCTCTTGATGGCGGCCAGGGCCTTTGCGCAGGTCGCCTCGTTTCCAAGCCAGGGAGCGGACATCTTCACCAGCCAGTTCTCATCACCCGCGCGCCACCGATCCTTGGCATTCCACACCTGCAGGGGGACAAGGTCAACACACAAGATAAAAGAGCACAATACAAGCAAACATGCAAAACACAACAACTGCTGACAACCGAAGAAAACAATAATACGCAATGTAAATTACCTTTGGGTAAAAATGAATAAAGCCACAAAACAGAAATACAAGACACCCCAAGCAATGAACCAAAAGGAAGAAAGAATGGAACAAAAAGCACGAAATCTGACAGAAAGAAAGGGAAGGTGCACAAGGACTAAGTGTTTGAAACAACGAAACAGCGACAAGATAACGATGAGAAGAAAAAGAAAAGAAAAAAACACCCAAAAAAACAGCTAAAGAAAGAACTTCCCAACCTCAAGAACCAGCGCACCCCCCACCTGCCCCTCCGCCACGACGATGGTGCACGAGCAGCTCTTGGCGATGTTCTGCGCCAGCACCTGTGGCTCCCTGGCGGCGGGGTTGAACTCCAGGATGGTCAGGTAGATGAGCCCCATCTCGCACGAGTCGAAGGTCGCGACGCCCACGGGCGGCACCACCTGCCAGCCCTCGCTGGGCCCCCACCCCGCGTACTGGTAGTGCTCCTGGAACTCCTTCATGTACTCGTGCACGCTCACCCCCATCCACGACTGGTGCGGCGCCTGGGGCGTCTCCTGCGTGTACTCCATCTCGCCCGAGTCGCTGCAAGACTCGTCAAATTCCGCCACCCTGCTCAGCCACGGGCTCTCGTAGCCGCCATCGACGACATGGCTGGGATCCCTGAGGCGGCCGTCGCGATCCTGATCTTGATCGTAGATCACGCCAGCGCCGATTCGGTCGGTGCTTGGGCTGCTGGGGTCGGGGCAGGACGCGAGGGAGGAGCAGGAGTTGGCCAGCGCCTCCGGGGGGCCCGACTGGTGGTGGCGTTCGGACTGGCTGCGCACAAACTCGTCCACGCAGCGGCGCTTGACCTCGTTGTTGCAGGCCACCACCAGCAGGTCGTGCGTGGTGGCGTTGGACACCACGAGATGGTGCATGGAGGCGCCCGGCCCTGGGCTGTGGCCTGCAAAGAGAAGGAACTGAATTATTGGTGGGAGTCGTCCGGCATTGGCTACAGCAATGCAATGCACAGCAGTAGCTACAGCACGGGAATGCCGAACTTGTGGGAAAATAGGGAGCATGACACCGATCGCAGCACAAGCGTGCCGAATTTGTGGAGCAACAGGAGGCAGGACAGGAGTTCAGGCTTTGTGCTGGGACTGTGGGCATTTTCGGTAGTTTGGTTCTGGGTACTGGGCTGCACTAAATACAGGGTAGCGCACGTTGCCGCTGCAAAGGACTACAGCGCAAACAGCCGCTGCCTGTGGCAATGATGAGCAGTGCGCACCTAACAACCGCTGATGAGCGCACAATCACCAATTCTCTGCTTTTCATTCGGGCCCTTAGCAGAATGTTTTGCTTGCTACACCCAGGCACCTCTGCATCATCTTCTGCACTGTTCTGTTAGTCTGTGACCATCCCTCCATGCTGCCTGGCTGGTGCTACAGTGCCTTACCGTGTTTTGAGAAAAAGACAACTACAGAGATTCTCCTTCATGCTATGTACTGGTCTCCAGAATATTTCTCCAAATGGGGACTGCCTTTGTCTGACCTGTTTGTTTCCTGGCAATGGCTGAAGGATGCCCCCCCTCTCCCCCGCAAACAGTCCTGTGTCCAGAAGCTGCAAACTATGTGTGAAGGCCCACGTAGGCATGCCTCACAAAGACTGAATACAAGCCTGAAATGCGAGGGAGAACCAGTCAACAACATTTTACTAACAAGGGAGCCATTCCTGAATTGGAAAACTGACTTTTGCACACAGAAAGGCACACAGTGCAGTACGCGCTCGGTGCTCACAACCCACACGAATTGCCTTGTCCGTGGGCCTTGGCAATAGCTTAGCAACTTGGGACTGGGAGCACAAGTCACCAGACAGTGATATGATTGTTGAGTTCAGTTTGCTCTTGGTCCAGTATTTTCATCCTGACAGACAACACCGACTTGTGCAAGGGCAGCGCTGCATAATATTTTGGCAGTTGCACAGACGGAAGCAAAAAGAAATCGAATGAGCAGGGTGGTTATAATGAATCGCTGCACCGTACCTTTCCCCATGCTACTCTTCTTGGCTGGTGGTGCTGAGAGCATTTCTGCATGCATGTTGGCTCCAGGTGTGGCATCCAGCACTCCAGCACCACCCATCTCCCGTCCATTGTGCTGTTCCAGCAGTCGCGTTATTTGTGACCTTTGGATTCGTCGTTTCCACATTGGCGATGTCCTGCTGTACTCAAATCCTGCCTCTTAACTTGACCCTCGCAGGGGCTGAGCCCCTCTGGGATGGGGACAGGCCCAGGCTTGGGGCACCTCCCCTGCTCCCCCTGCAAAGTGCAATCCACCCTAAGCCTGGGTTGGAAATGCATATCGATTATTGCCTCAACATGCAAAGTAGAAAATGGCACATTGGTCAAGGCACATGAATCTGCTGAACCTGCTGAACTGTGATCAGCTCAGATGATCAGACAGAATGAGTTTGTCAACGGTCTTCAGGGACCACACAAGTCCGCATCTGGACTTCTTTGCTGTTGCCTGTGCGCACGAGGTGTTGATGAACACTGTTGACCTCATCCAGGGGATGGGCTTGGAGTCTGTGGGACCCACTTGAAGGTCCAGTAGGACAGCAACGAGACACATCACCGTATAGCATTCATACACCACGCAAGAGAATTGGCAACAACAGAAATATCCACACTTCTTTTTCCTGTGTTGGTGGGATTTTATTGGCCGTCATTCACAACTTCTGCCGCAACCATGCCCCCACTGACACCACCCCCCTACCCACCCATTGATTTGCCTATGTTCGTGCATGCTGTGGCCCACGTCATGGACAAGTGGCAGTGGCAAGCCCTTATGTGCTGCTGAACAGCAGGGCGGTCCAATGTACGACTGGGAAGCCAGCGTGTAAACACCTCAGAGCACAAATGCACACAAGCCCTGGAAGCTAGTTGCCCTAGTTCAGGGTGTGTGCCCCAGCTGAACTCATCCTCATTTGAATTATCATCTTGCACTGTTGATAGTACTTGAGCATTGTGCTTCCTCTCGGTCCTATGCAACTGGCTGTGTTGTTGGTTGGGAGATTGGGATCATTGGAGCTGGCCATTCTGGATGAGGATGGATGTGCATGAATGTGTGAATGGATGCATGTTCCACTTTCCAGTTTCAAAATGCAAATCAGTACAAACACAAGAATTGAATGGTGAGGTTGCTACATTGTCCCCTGTCTGCGAGTTTGCCACCGGGAAGTTGTGTACTGGCTGATCAATGGCATGGAGTTAGCAGTGAGTTTTTTTTTTACACTGCAGGTGGTTCTGGAGGGCTCAGGCAGCTCATGCAATACTCACTTAGTTGGTGGTTCTTGGTGAGTGGTTCTTTCTCCTGCAGTTTGGCCATTTTCTCTGCCTTCTGGAGGCCTTTCAGGGTTGTGAGTGACCCACAGTGGTAGGTTGTGATGCGTTGCATGTTATGGTTTTCGGTGCACCACATGGGGGCTACCTCTTTCCTTGCTGTAGGGTTGGGGTGGATGACAATGCCTTTCAGGCGATGGTTTCGAGTTTGAGGACCTAGTTGATGATCCACTAGCAGGGGATGAAGGTACAAAACTCTCTCCTCTTCATACGTCGTGAGAGCCAAAGGATGACAACCAGACAGAAACTGAAGGGCCGAGGCCCTGGGCGCCTGCCCAGCACAGCTCGCGCACTTGCCAGAGCTTCCAACAGCAAACTACTGTGCAGGGCTGCTGTTTCCATTACTAACGAGCCTGTGGTCGCGAATTTCTCTGCAGTGTGGCTGACTGCCACACCGTCAAATTTGCCGGGAAGGGTTCTCAGCCTCCCCGCCGCCCCAGGAGCTCCGCGCGTACCACTGGGACCCAACTGCCGAACCCCGCGGCCTGTATGTATAATAAAATTGTGTTGCAAAATGGAACGACGGCGGGGAAGCGACACAAAAAAGACGCCTGCTCGTTTTTCCGCCCGACCTGCGGCCCGCTCCGACGGCTTATTATCTCATCCGAGGATGACAGGGGCCCGAGCGTGCCCCCGCGCCGTCGGCACCACCAGCCACGCCCGCCCACCGGCCATCGTCCTCCCCCCCCTCCCCCCCCGCGCCCCGCCCCCCTCGCTCCGCGCCCTAAGAGTCAACGACAGGTCAGCAAACGGCGCCGGCAACGTCCCAAGCACGCGGCCATTCGCCAGCATCGACGCCCCTCCCCGACCAAAGTGCCTGCAAAGGGGGGGATGCGTCCCCTGGACGAAAACAGGGTAAATCAAACTGCGTAGGGAGGCCGGCCGACGCGTCCGGAGCCAGATCCGGCAGCGCAAGCGCGCGGGAGATCATCGCCAGATGCTGCGGAGTGGCACGCCAGGCGGCGAGTCCGCTCGGGGCAGAACCCACCCACGGCCCCAAGCCCCACTCAACTCCACAACTACCCACAAACCCGCCACCAGGCCGCCCAAGAGCTTCATCCGGGGAATCCCCGGAGCAAAATCCACCATTCAACCCCCCCCCCGGGCGCGACGGGCTCCTCGAACAAAGCGGAAACTGCCCGCCGGCGGTGGGGTTACCTCCGGATTCCGCCACTCGCGCCCGAACGGCCGAGGAGCCGGGACGGGATTGCTTCGCCCCGTCCAGTCGGGATGCCCAAGTCCGTAGCTCACGGATCCCCGCACCGGTGCTCTGGCCTCGTTGCGGCGGCCGGCGCTTTCCGCACCGGCTCTCCCGGTCCCCTGGGTGGGGTGGGGAGGGGGAGCCCGCCGTGGGGCGTGACGGGCCGCACGTGGTTGAAATGAGCGCAGACGGAGGGGGATTAATGGCGCCGTCGAACGCGGTTGAGGGGGGGCAGATGTACTGCAGTATATTAAACCCTTCCGCATCGGTCCCTCCCGACCGTTACGTTTTTGCTCCGCATTTTCGTCCCAGACAAACCTATTGTTGCTCAACTCGCTGTGCGTGTTGGTACCGATGTCTTCCCAACCGTTTCTTCCACTTCCACTTATCCTGCTGACGTCTTCATTTGGCGAAGTTGAGTTTTGATTTTTCTAGAGTCCAAATCCTCTTGATAACCTACCCCTGTTGCCCCCAATTAACTCTTGACTGGCCAAAGTGGGGGTGTTCGATTACAGTCCAATCTGCTCAAGTAAATGGCCATCACTGTAATCGAGAGAAAACCGTAGAGAAAGGAAAGGCCAATGCGCTCAGCAGAAGTTACCTTGAACCGCATGACATACGGTTACATTTGGTAGTCATGCAGCTGCTGAATGCTCAAGGCAAACGTGTGCACGCTCAGCTTCTCTCCAGTGCACACGAATCGGTGCAATTACAGCTGAGATATCCTCCATCTCGCTGTTTTGCAATGCCGCTCATCAGAACCGTCCAGAATGAGCACCAATAACGTCAATTGAAGAGCACTCTACGGGCAGCACGGACAGCTGTGACTGGGCTGTGAACTAGTCAAGGAAAAGGGCGAAAACTAGTCAGCTGGATCCGCATGCTGACGGGATACAATACAATTTGACGGTGATGGAATTTGGGTGTAATTGGGATGAAAAATGTACTAGGTGTATTTTTTGTTTGAATAGGGGGATTCCCCCTAATTTGATGTTTCAAGAATCTACTGCCATTAGTTCCTTGCAGCGTGAGTGGGAAGGAGATGTACAGCAGTACATCTTCATGGGGGTGCTGCCAAGGGGCACTGACGGGTGTTGATTAATGTTGTAGTGGTCAAAAGTGACTTTTTTGGTTGTATTGTGTGACCCTTTGGAAAGGGTCAACGTGGAGAAGGTCAATGGGAAGTTCTGAGAGGTACAAGGGGTATTGTGGCCTTTTTCTTGATGTGTCTGTTTGATTATCCGAGGGTTGCTGGAGTGTAGTGCTGTTGGAGCTTTTAGGGGTATTTAGGTGGCGGAGGTTGGGTTGTGAGTGCCTCCCCCCCTCTCTCTCCAACCCCAACCTGTCCGTTCTTGGTTCTAGCAGTCTGAACGGCGGGTGTTCGGTTGCGAATGGTCATGCTGTGAGTGTGTGAACGTCGAAAGTGGTTGAAAGAGAGCGACATTGTAACGAACAAGTTCGTTTTGGTGTTTCCTTACCTCCTGACCCTCCGGGTCACTTGTCCTTAGGGTTGTGGACCGTTGCACATACCCCCAGCTCGTAGAGGTGGCCACCCGGATCCGTTAATAACGGACGAGGGTGCCGTCCGTTAAATATCCGTTAATTTAGCGGACCCCGCTCTCTCTCTTGCTGACGTGGCACGGATGGCAGCGGACGGCTGGTGCCAGTCAGCGGACTCTGCGGATTCCGCTTGGGCGTTAACGGATATTTTCCAACGGACCGGAAGCCGCGCACCCCATCCGCTAATTTAGCGGATGGCAGCGGACGTGTGTGCCGAATCAGCGGATGACAGGCAGTAAGTACTGATTTCCGAATCTGCGGATCGGGTTGATTGCCAGCGTGGCTCAGCCAGCTAGAGGTGGCCACCCGGATCCGTTAATAGCGGACAAAGGTTAATTCCGTAAATTAATCCGTTAATTAACGGAAAATAACGAAAACAGACAAAAATTAACCAAAAATTAGCAGATTTTTGGATTTTTTGGGGATTTTTGGGTTTTTTTCATACTTATAGTTTATAGAATTCGCTATTAGAGAGTATGTTTGTATTTTATTTCAACCTATGCATACTAGATTTTCAACTAGCCGCAGTTTTTGTGAATTTTTGGGTTTTTTTTCGATTTTTTTGGATTTTTTTCGTTTTTTCTGAATTTTTCTCCCTTTTTCTTTAACGAAATTTAACGGACAGCTGATAAAAATTAACGAACCGGATTTAACGGACCGGATGGCACCTCTGAGT